TAGGTAGGTGAGGATACGCTCCTTTTTTATGGCTCAGCCCCCTGTTGTGTTTCTCACCCTCTTCTAAGTCATAGTCCACAATTAGTTATAGCAACAACCTTTCCTGTACCGGTTGATGCTCCATGCAGCAGGGATCCTATCTGGAGATAACATTGTCCAAATTAATATCATCTGAGCATCACCACTACACTGCCACAACTAGCCTCTTCCAACACAATATAAAGCTGGTAATAGTAAAAATCTTTACTTTCTATTGATGCTGCTTTTTGAATATAGCGGGATAATCACATCATGCAATAAAAATTCCTCTCTGTTCCCGAGCTATAAATAAACATGTAATACAATTAACACAATCGGATTATGAGGCACACTACAATTTATGTTGCCTAACCAGCTTGCCTTCTTTGTATCAGCCTACTTTGCAGCGCTTGTCCTAAATCTGGAACTGTCACAGTTTTTGTTAGACAGACACCATGCACAAATGCATCAATGCATTGGATGGTACTACCAGAAATACCATAATCAGAATACACAACTTCACTACCAAGAAAAAAATTATTATGGCAGCAAAAAAGAAAACCAAAGACAAGTAGAAAAGAGACTGTCACTGGGAAGTATTTATGTCAAAATTTGCTGCCTACACTTACTACTTTTTTGTCGTTAGTTGATTGAACATTTCCTATCTTACCTTATGGTCTATTCTTGTTCCACTTGTATCTTTATTCTTGGAAACAGGTGATCAGCGCTTGCGGTTACTAATAAAATATAGAAGGGGCTGGACATACCATTGTCTACCTCCCCAAAAAAGTGCACAGTATACACCCTCCATACCTGCCAGGGAGACTAAGGCTCCCCCTGTTTATTCCTCAATAAAAACACTGCCTTTCCCCTCACCCTAATAATAAAGAGCATACCCAAAAATGATAATACATGTGAAAAAAAGTTATACTTTACAACAGACATCTTTCTTCTTAAATCTTCGTTTCTTCGTGTCCCACGTGTCCCAAAAAAAAAAATTACAAGAACCTGATGAAAAAAGTAAAACCTTGCTGCACCAAATGCCCCATGGCTGAATTTCTCAATAGGCAGAGTAGGCACCTGCCTACAATCTCCTGACCCCTAGAGTCTGCCTGATTCCAGCATGTGTAATGCACTTGTAATCGAGATTAAATAGGTTGATAGGGAGAGATAAGTACCAGGAGCCTTGATCAGTGTCCTCTGTAGTCAGCATTGATAGCACAGCAGCTGAACAGGAAGTCAAAGGATCACTTCCCATCTACCTACTATTATCCAGTGAAACAGGGAATACCCAGAATGAGCAGGGGAAGCTTTTTTTGATGCACACTGTATAACCACTCCTGAAGTTATAATATCAATCTTAAATTATGATTGGTCTACAGAAGACATAGGTTTAGTACTTTGCAAGTAGCCCTTCAAACTCCAGCACTCATTTACCTTAATCCTATGTTTAATTCTTCTTAAAAAATAAACACATCTACTACTAAATTTAAAACAACTCTAATAATAACAATAATTCTAAAGAGCCATTATACTACAAATGTAACACTTCTCAAACTGTTCTTTTTAACACTAAAACACCCAATGTAATCTAGCTTTGACATTAACCCCTCTCTTATCTTAAACCCCCCTTTACTCTACAAATTTCTAACACAATTCTAACACTATCTTTAATCATACATACAGTTACACAGTTGCACACACGTACACACACACACTATACACAGATTCAAACACAATACATTGTAAGTAGAAATATGAGCATACATACGTATGCAGTTGTCAAATGTGAATATGCTTTCTTTTTTCTTTTTTTTAGATGTTTTTAGGCCTGTAATATCCAGTTAATAAATTAATTATACTTATTGTTGGATTGGTAAGCAGCACTTTTAGAATTTAATCCCTACATCTGCCTGACATGTAAATCTGGCCCAGTTGAGTCCTGTGAGTGCTCTGCACAGAATGAGCTTTCAATGCATTAAAGCCTTTTTATTCCTTGCTTTGAAATCTCAGTAGAGTGCTCTGATTGGTTGGCTTGTTAGCCAACCAAAGTGCTCTGACAGGTAAGCATCACGTCTCTCGAGACTTGCCATGGGAATAATAATATAATCCAACCAATCAGAACCAATAGAAATCACATGGAATAGCCATTATTTTGTGAATTTGTTTTTTTTGTGAATTGCTATGGCTGGCAGATTGCAGGAATAGTAGCAATACATTGGCTTTACCTCTACTACCTCCTTTCTGGCAGCACAGATGATAAGCTAAAAGGTTTGTGATTTAATTCTGCCTCAGCCCTCATGCACAAAACAATAAAATGTAAAGAGATCAGATTGAGGTAAATAGATAAATTGGTTGCTAGACAAGATCAGTCACATCTGGGAAAAAAATAGAAAATGTATATAAGCTACGATATGAAACAAAAAACAAAAGAAAGTCGGTTTTATTAAATCATTTTTGCTTAAGATTTTGCAAACCACTTCAAGGACAAGGCTACTACAACAAAACAGGAAGGAAAACATTTACTAAACAGTGAAAATTCTGATTAATTTCTTAAAAATCTATAAAATCCTATGAAGCATTTTCATTTGCTTGAAATGAAGGCTTTTAGTACATTAATTCTATTATACACTGATCGGCGACAACGTTAAAACCACCAGTTTAATATCATACAGGCCCCTCTTGTGCTGCCAAAACAACTCTGATGCATCGAGATATGGACTCCACAAGACCTCTGAACGTGTCCTGTAGACATGTGCAATTAGTTTCAGTCCGAATGTAAATTTTGCCGAATTTCGGCAATTTGGACATTCAGATGCTTCCGAATGTCTGAATTGCCGAAGTCCTGAAATGCAGAAGTCACGAATTTCGCAAGTGCCGAACCGAATTGCCAAAGTGCATAATTGTAGGAAGTGCCGAAGTGCTTTGGATTTCTGAAAAGTGGCAAAACAGGAGAGGAGGGAAAATTAAGGAAATTATGACAGGAATCTAACCCTAATCCTACCTCTAACCCTACCCCTACTCCTAACCCTACCCCTACTTAGGGTTAGGGGTAGGGGTAGGGGTAGGGTTAAGGTCAGAGTTAGGGGTAGGGTAAGGGTGCCAAAGTAACAAATTGCCAAAGTGCTGAATTTTGGAAGTGCTGAACCAAATTTTTTGCCCATGCACATCCCTAATGTCCTGTGGTATCTGGCGCCAAGACATTAGCAGTAGATCCTTTAATTTCTACAAGTTGTGATGTGAGCCTCCGTATATCAGATTTGTTGTTCCAGCACATCCCACAGATGCTCAATCAGATTGATATCTTGATTGTTTGGGGGCCAAGGCAACACCTTGAAATATTTAAAATGTTCTTCAAAGCATTCCGGAAACATTTTTGCAGTGTGGCAGGGTGCATTATTCTACTGAAAGCTATTTCAGCATGGCACTATTGCCATGAAGGGGTGTACATGGTGTGCAACAATCTCTAGGTAGGTGGTACGTGTCAAAGTAACATCCATATGAATATCAGCACCCAAGGTTTCTCAGCAGAACATTTCCCAGAGCATAACACTGCCTCTTCAATTAGTACATCCTGCTGTCATATCACCAAGTAAATGATGCGCAGCACCCTGCCATCCACCTGATCTAAAAGAAAATGTGATTAATCAGACCAGGCATCGTTCTTCCATTGCTCCATGGTCCAGTACTCTAACTCAGTCCCAAATTAAGGCACTTTTGGCAATGGATAGAGGTCATAATGGACAGTGGCACTGGTCTGCAACTACATTGCAAGCCCCATATGCAACAAACAATGCAATGCATTGTGTGGTCTGACACAATTATATCATGACAAGTGTAAAACATTTCATCAATTTATGCTACAGTAGCTGTGATCGGACAAGACAGTCATTACAATTATACCCCCCCCCCCACACCCCGGAACAATTCCTGTGGATGCCAATGGCCGCAACCCATGTAAAGCAACTTCAGGGGCGGCAGTCAAGGAGAAAGTGCGGCATGCCTTGCACTGAAGAGTTGCAGTTCCAGCTGGCATGAGGAGTGCTTGGTGCATCCCCCACTCCAGATGTGGCACCCGGTGAGTGATCATGCTGCACCAGCCTGACATATATGAATGGAGAAGGGACCTTTCATGCAGGCTTACTTCCTTAAATTCCTTAACTTTACATTACTGCCTAGGAACACCTCCAGTGGCAGTTACTCAGAAGGCCACAACATGCAGCACTAACATTCAGCGTCTCCAGATGCTGATCTTTACTCATAGAGAAGCACTGAGTCAATGCATCTCTATGAGGAGATGCTGATTGGCGTAGAGCGGCATTTTGCCGCACATGTGCAACAACATCCCTACAATTTCGTATGGGAAATTTTCATGATCTGAGCCTCGGAGCAGAGTGTGGGATGGGCCAGCAGCAACCAGACTTACGAGGCACTGTGAAAAGGTGAGTAAGTCACCTTTTTAACTGGAGGTAAAGGGGGGCCAGTGTCCTAAACTGCTGTTTAGACTTGTTAATTAATCTGTTAATTAGTCTGTGCACCAGCATCATGGTCATGAGTGCCCAAGGCTCATTCATTCCTGACACTAAAATGTTCCTTTAAGCCAAATGTTTACTTTTGAAGTTGCACCGTTTTCCCCAGCATTTCCTTGAACTAGTGATTTGTATGAATGTTATTCTGAGATATGCTTAAAAAAGATTTTCCAATCTTCTCTTGTTTCTTAAAACTAGTGTAGTAACGTGATGATGAGAATTGAGATACCTGCAAACCTACTATGCTATTGGCAATCAGAAAAAAATAAAAGATTAATTAATGTCAAACATATTAAAAAAAAAAAAAATGTAACTTGCTCAATAATTTGGAAATGTTTTAAACTGTTGTACTGTGTGGAAAGGTAAGAAATATTTCCCTTTAAAGAAAAAAAACTGTTGAAACTGGAATTATGAAATCACTAGTGCTAGTGGATAAAAGGTCTTTCACATTGGGGAGACCTGCTAGTAGTTTGACCAAGGGGCGAAGATGAAGTTTATAACATCATGTCTTCTAGCAGTCATCCTATCCTGCCTTCTTGTATACATTTCTGCACTAGATGTAAGTTAATTTTCTCTATGTTGTACTTTAAAATCTCAACTAGTGATGTTAGTTTTACACGTGTATCTTTTTGAATTTCATCAGTTTAAAGAGGAATGTTTGGCGTCAAGCATTAATCATGTATAAGGCTTGATGTCGAAACATTGCAAATAGTTTTATTCTCCTGATCCTGAATAAAACTCTTTCCTATTTGCACCACTATGTGAAGCCTTTGGAATTTTATTTTAAATACTTGTAAGGGATCTCTGTGAATCCCTTCCATGGAATTAGATAGCATGCCTCATGCTATGTGTAAAAAATCATGCTCTACTTCAGGGGTGTCCAATAGGTAGATTGCCAGATGTTGTAGAACAAGAACTACCATGATGCTTTACATGCCTTTAGAATTCCTTTGGAATGACAAAGTATTATAAAAGCTGTAGTTTTAAAACATCTGGGGATCTACCTTTTGGGTGTCCCTGCTCTACTTATTGTTTGGCACTCAAATGGTTAATATTTATTATTCTATCGGTAAAGAGTTTACATTTATTTTTGGTTTGCTATTTACCATTACAGCTTTTATACCCCATATTTACAATAACGAATAAAACAATTTAGTAATGAATATAGTAAAAAGGAGAATCGTACTTGTTACTTTTTAAATAACCAACTACTGCACATAAATATAAATGCTTATTTTCAGAAAGGGAAATATAAGGGGTCGGATGTATTTGAGTAAGGGAGAAAAAAAGAACTGGACTAGTATGGTAACAACAAGAAAATAAAAATGTTAGGGGACAAAGGACTCTTGTAACACCCAAGTGAACTTGGTCACTTTTTACATTCCCCATACTGTAGACTTCTCACTAACTCAGAACTCAACAAGTAACCTAGGAGGACCTTATGTTTAACCTGTCCACCTTCCAATGCTCATGATAATATAAATATAGATGGCATAGCCGTCCATAGCAGTGCCAGTGTAATTACAGGTAGTCCCCCTGCTGCCTGAAAAAAGTAAAATAAAAGTTTTTTAAAAACAGTTTAAAATAAAATATATACTTAGATTATTTATATATATATATATATATATTTGTGTAAGGGGCAAATAGCCGTATATGGAGTAAAGTTCCAGCATAAGCGTAGGATAGTATAAAGGGAGCAAGTCGGTTGTGGTGTGCCGAGACAGACAATACGGTAGGCCTGTAAATAAAGAGAGCCCACCAAGGAGTAAGAAAGTAAAGTAAATGGAAAGAGAAAGTGTTGAAATGAGGAGTGGGTGGGAGGGTCATTCTGATGCTGACCTCAAGCAATATGGAGTCAGGTAAGGGGTGTCCTTTATATAGGGGAGTGAATTAATTTAAGCCCCTCCCACAAATACAGGCCAAACGGCCTTAATACTTGTGTAAGGGGCAAATAGCCGTATATGGAGTAAGGTTCCAGCATGAGCGTAGGATAGTATAAAGGGAGCAAGTCGGTTGTGGTGTGCCGAGACCGACTATACGGTAGGCCTGTAAATAAAGAGGGCAAAAATGAATAATCAAAGATTTAATACAGTCAACAAATGTATGCAAATTAACCAGATATTTCCTTAAATACATTATGGTATTTAATTCCTGGAAGTATTTTGAAGGTAGGAATCTAGGACCGCAACTGGACACCATTTGTTGTGGGTAGGATAGTATGTTATATCTACTGCTGGTGCGTGTTGACTCATTTCGGAATGTGGTAGAGCCAATAGGTAATGATATATGTGTTTACGTAGGTGGGATCCTTGAAGACAATGAACTGTCTGAGTGGTGGTGATGGTAGTGGATTCTCTGACCTGAGTAAGGCATAGAAGGCAGTGTGCATGGCTGGTAATGGCCGACTTGGTGGTATAATTGAATGGTTGTTGATCTAATAGGTCCGATAAGGATGGAAAAGTTGGATGGCTATTGGTAATCTCTGAGAGGAACATGGGGGAATGCATTCCTGAAAACCTCTGAGTATATTCTTGTCTGGTATCATAGCATGAAGTTATGGTAGGTTTAGCCATAGGTTATCCAGTGTTGTTGAATACCTGTAAAATATATAATTAATGGTGTGTGAGAGTTTTAGTTTAAGGTGGCAAAAAGAAGCAAAACCTAGGAGAAATGTTATGACACAGGTTGAGCTATGTCGTGTTCCAATGAGATTCTTTAAGCCAGGTGAAAAGCTGTGTTATGCATTCTACAAGTATGGGACAAAAGTGCTAGGTGGGATAGTGCATGCTATGCTGCATGAGTATGTCTAATCCATGATTTTGTCTCTGGAACGAAAGAGCGGCTGTAACTGTATGGGCGGCTGTAGGAAGCGTATGATGACCATGCCTGGAATATAAATGAGACAATTGTTGGCAGGGATGTATACCTCCGCCTGGTACATGAAAGTAAAAGAAATGTGATAAGTGGCCAACCAAGTGAGTTCCCCAGAAATATCATGATCGTATGTATGATGAGTGGCATTTGTTAATGATATGACATGTGCTTAGTTGTCCGAGTAACAACGGATTGATGACCCTGACCATGATTTACCCCATGCCACAGCAGCTGCTACAATGGGGTAGATCCCCCAAAGGGCTGAGATGGTGGAAAAATTTCCAAACCTGGATGCCATGGCCAACAGCTCCAAAGCAATCGTTCCCAGTAGATTGCTGCCAAACCTGTGGTAGACACCGCGTCTGACCATCTGGTTGGAGAAGTGTCAGACAATCCTGGAAGGAACATGCTTTTACCATGCCAAGTGATTAAGAAATCCCCCCCCCCCCCATGCGCAAGTCTGCTGTGGCTGGAGTGTCTAGGGACATCCTCTGATAATCATGTTGGAACTGTGGAAAAAAGGGGAAAGTACTCTGGATGTGGTATGATTTGCATGGAAAAATTAAGGAACCTGGTAGGGATTGTAGTTCTTCTGGTTGTAAGTACTAAGCAGGAAGTAGTGATTGATGTAGTTGAGAATGTTCCCTATTTGTCTTGTGGTAACTTGCGTGTATATTCAAGTCGTATGCCCAGTAATGTGATGATGGTACTGGGACGCCCAAGTGATCAACCAGACTAAGCTGCTGTGTGGCTTCTAGTGAAAAATATGTTATTTTTGATCAACAAGAAGTATTCTAGATAGTGTATGACTGTAAGGCCTCTTAATATGTTATCATAACCAGCACAGAGTATCTGCGAATATCTATAGTAGGCTAATCTGTAGCCCGAAAGTTGAGCGGGGAAAGGATTGCCCATTTTATGCCATGTAAGTGCCAGTGTGTAGTGTAGATGGTAGCCGTTTACTGCGTTGATGATATTGGTCTTACTTAACCAAGCTTCAACCCATGCTTGAGTGATAGCTGTAAAGGTAGATGAATGGTGTTATATAGTAAGGAAACTCCTCGGAGGGTATGAGGGAGTTGAGACTTGGGGTAGTGGAGGTGTGTGTTGCCAATAAGTCTATGGTTGGTCTAAGGGAAGATTTCCTTGTGACAATACCAATGTATTTGTGTTTGGCACCATGCTGTAAATGGTGGAGATTGGAAAACCCAAGTAAAAACCCCTCTGCAAATCTTGGCTATGAGTGTGTTTACAGCCGATGGTTCTGTTGTGCGGACTGTAAGTGAGGGCATGCTATATTCCTGGAAGGTGCATTTATGATACCTGTATGGCAGCCCTTTGAAGCTCCAGAGCTTTAGTAAATCTACTACAAGTCTGGAAGGGTGATGAGTCAGTAGTGTTGAAAATGCATTGGTGTGTAAAGATGGTGAGTACGTTTTTTGTAAGTTGTATTGGGACACATGGTTTGTCATGTGCCCTGAACCATTTGAACATATATGCAACAGTCAATATGCAATGCAACTACTCATACCAATTGTCTCTGGTAGTTCAGAGGTGCTGGTACCTGGAGCCTGAGAGTGCTCATCCGTTTGTTTGGGACAAAATCCCTTCTGTATGGGTACCTGCAGAAATAAACATTTCTACATATGCCAACACAACCAAGGGATGGTCAGTTCCCGATTTACCTGGAATCCCTGGATCTGACCATCACAGATACATCATCATACATATATATGCCTTGTTTCCCCTGTGCTGGGATAATATGCGCAGGGTTAACGTCTTGTGTGTCATAAGAATTGATTGTACCAGGTAACCGAGTTTCGGTTGGTGCTGGTTATACAGTAGCGTGAAGCCCAGCCTTGTGAGGGCTGTGGTGACCGACTCGAGATTGCCAGTCTGTCATAAATCTTTTGGCTCATGAGTTTATGAGTGAGGCTAGCATGGCCTGGGTGTCACCTGAGTTGGTGTTGCTGGGCCTTCCCCTGCCTCCGTGTTGTCCGTTGATGTATGGAGGAGTTTGAATAACTCTGCTTTCCTTGCTGTGGCAGGGTAGGGGATTTGTCGCCTCCTTAGGTTGGTGGTAATGTGTGGGATCGTCCAGGATCTGATTGCTGTTGGGCTAGCAACATTTCCTCTGCTTGAAGGTGTATCAATTCTAGCCGGGGTGCTAGGAAGAGGTGATTCTTCACCATCTTTTTGAGAAATACTTAAATAACAATAAAGATTGCAATTATTATTTGTACCCAGGGGTCTTGTACTGGCTTGCTAGCTAAGCCGTAAGGCGAAACGATTAGGCTTGGTGTTTTTTGGAGACTGGTGAGGCCCTGCAAGTTGCAAAGTGGCTTGAGAGGCTCTATCTATGCTTGGCGCAAGGGGATTTTGTGTGGCCACCGAACATTGTGGCAGGATGTTGACCTCTCGGTGACAGTAACCAGAAAATAGGAAGGGTAGTGACAGGTGAGGCCCTCTCTATGATACAATGCGAGGCGGCTAGCTCACGAGTTGCCCATGGGGTGTATGCCTCCGAGTGTGAGGCGGGGTGTTGGCCTTGCGGGACCACTAACCGAAGCGTAATGCAGAGAAAAAAGGGGGTAATACCTATTGAGCCCTAGAACCCTAATTGCCAGTACACTATTACTATTCCAGGGAAGGTAAGAGATGGATACCTACGTGAGCAGGTGTATGTACCTGGTAGTATGGTATTGAACCTGACAATCCATATAGGTTTTTTAGTAGTAACTGTAACCTGAATGGATAAAACCGTATGGCATAAGGAAATATGGCATAGACCAAGCTTATCTTAATACGTACAGTATATGTGAAAAGTAAAGTGCCGTGATTTGTAAATATTATACATCGTAGCCATACTGGTTAAATATGTATCAATCTTAACCCATTAAGTGCCGTATGTACAAGTGAAAAAGTGGTCTGTCACCACCTTGTATGTTGTATGTCCCCTTGCTAGGGGAAAGTCTGTTGTGTGAGCAGCGCGCTGTGAAAAATGTATGTGAACTATATTACCAGATACGTAAATACAGATGCGTCTGCTACTGTGCAATAATATGTGTATTTATACCAGATGTTGATATACTACTTGCAATGTGAATTGTTGCATGTCTTATTGAATGGTAGGGGTCAGTGATCATAGTGGTGCAAAATGCAAGTGCACTGGAGATCTGCCGAGTGCCCTATAGGTGGCAGTGTAGTTGGATACTGATTGGTATGTGAAATGTTGTTTGTCTGTTGACCTATAGGGGTCAGTGTTTTGGAGTTTGTAAAACCCCATGAAAATTGTCAATGTACTTGACAGACCTGTAGGTGGCAGTTTTGATAGAACCACTGTTGGTCTTGATGTGAAATGTAAATTATTGTGAATTAAACCTGATGTTGAGCCCGTGCTGGAGTTTAATTTATGGTTTATGGTTATGTTTAAAACAATCTTATGTGTAATTTATATTGGCTGGTAAATTGTATATGACGTGAAAAAAAGTTTTGTTGTTGACCAGTAGGGGTCAGAAATGCTGATTGTATGGTAAAAATACCCTTTAATCCAAATGCAAGGTTAACGTGAGACTTTGAGAGGGACCTGTAGGGGTCAGTGTGGTTTATGTGAAACATTGTTCATGAGCTATGCCCCAGCATTATAGTTGTATGACAGGGAAACGAACAGTGCCCGTTTGACAATATACAATATGTGAACATAATAGCTTAATAACAGTCATTGTAACAAACCAGTGTTCTGTTCCTGGGCTGTAAACTCACAAAACGTGTGTGTAGTACAACAGTAAATGCATGAACTAGTTTCCGTTTGGTAGAAAATTGCATGAACCGTGAGCGTGGTATGTCAGGGAAACAAAACGAAACGAGCAGTGAGATTCGAAATGCACGCACATAATTGCCTAGTATGTTTAGGCAATTGAAACAGAATGTGTTCCCGTTCGGGAGTATGCTAATGCTCAAAATGAGCCAGTGACAGATATAAACAAGTGAATTTAAACGAATGATATGCATGAACATGCAATGGTTTTAGAACAGACTTAGACAAAATGCAGCCGTAAAGTGAGGATCTGACCTCACTTTACGGCCATGGGACTGATGCCTGGCGTAACGGGTAGGTCGACTTACGGTTTGTGAGTCACTTGGACACCATCCAGGGTGATGGATTGAAGAAAGAAGGTGGTAGGCCAGAAAAGCCTGTGGCTAGATTCCTGACACAGCTCAGCTTAGAAAACCTCATGGAGTAATCAGGTAAAATGGCGTCTGGATGACCCGGAAGTGGAAATCATTCTGATGCTGACCTCAAGCGATATGGAGTCAGGTAAGGGGTGTCCCTTATATAGGGGAGTGAATTAATTTAAGCCCCTCCCACAAATACAGGCAAAACAGCCTTAATACATATTTGTTATATATATGATCTAAGTATATATATATATATATATATATGTATACACTTACACATACATACTCATACAGTGTCTATGTGTATTTTAATATTAATATATATATAATTATTTATATATATATATTAATATCAAAATACACGCAGAATGATATTGAATGATATATATAAATATATATGTAGTTATATAGAATATAAATAAATAAGTTAATTTCGTTCTAACTTTATTTTGATATTAATATATATATATATATATATATATCAAAATACAAGTAGAACAAAATAATATATATCGATTAACATAAGTATATATGTATATATCACTATATATATACCTATATATATAAATAAAAATAATTTAAAAAAAATTATAGCCCAGGAATAAAAATTGGTAGCCCAGGAATAAAAATTACCTCCATGATGGCATACCATTTGCAAAAGTAGACAACCCAAGGTATTGCAAATGGGGTATGTCCAGACTTTTTTAGAGCCACTTAGTCACAAATACTTTAAAGCAAATCAGCCAACTCTGCTCCCTTCCTTAATTTTAGTTTGAATGTTTTATGATAATTCTGCAAGAACTAATATACAATAATAATAAAAGAACACAGTTTCATATAATAATAATAATATAATATAATAATAAAATAATACAATGCGTAATCCTCCCTATACCAGCAGCCCGGGGTAGGGTGAGGGGCACAGCCCCCTTTGCCAAACCTCCCCCGGCGTATCTCAGTAGATATCAGTATACAGTAATATTTTGCTTTCATACCCCACTTGGTATACAAACGATGCAAATATTATAACTAATGCTTGTGCTGAATTATAAAGCTAAAGTTCCAACCATGTCAACTCTATGCATTTGTGCTGGAACTCTAAGGATGTACCTGGGAAAATTCACTATTCAGGGGGCATTATGATCCAAATTAGATATGTTAAATCAAGGCCTCATGGATGTCATAGAAAAAAAAAGCTGAACTCTGTTTGAACTTGTTAGTACATTGAAGGTTGAAGCTTTCACATCCTTTACATCGAACTTGGTGAGATCAAAGCAGCCGATGTGTCCAGCCTGATCTAGTGTAGTTAAATCCATGTAAAGTTTTAGAAAATACAAGTAGATATTGGCATCAGATAACTTTGTAGATAAAAGTTGAATTATTGAATCAATAGAACCCAGAAGCAGGGACGTTTTAGCCGTGAGGTCTTGGGCGGCATTTTCCAGGGGGGGCAAAAAAAGCCACCCCCATATGCTCAGGGCAAATGTCTTGTTAGCCTTGCGGCTAACTGACATGTCAGTCGGGCTGATGGGCTGGCTGCAGCGCGGTCGGGGGGCGCTAGCGGGCGGCGCTGGCGAGGGAGCACTTTCCTCTGAGCTGTCTGCTCAGCTCTCTCGTGCACCGCAGAGTGAGGCTGGGAGCTGGAAAATGATGTCATATTTCGGTTCCCGGCATCACTCTGCAGCGCGCGAGGGAGCTGAGCAGAGTGCTCTGGGGAATTGCTCCCTCGCCAGCCGCCCGCCAGCGCCGCCCGCCCAGCGCCACCCGCCCAGCAGCCACTGGACCCCCAGGGGAAAAGAGAACCCCCCCAGCATTCCCAAAGGTAAGGAGGCTGGGGGGGGGGGGTTAAATAAAAACAAATGTGTTAATGTGAGTGAGTGAGTGTGTGTGTCTGTTAGTGTGTGTCTGTTAGTGTATGTGTGTCTGTTAGTGTGTGTGTGTCTGTTAGTGAGTGAGTGTGTCTGACTGTGTGTGTCTGTTAGTGTGTGTGTCTGACTGTGTGTGTGTGTGTGTGTGTCTGTTAGTGTGAGTGTGTTTGCCTGTGAGTGTGTCTGCTAGTGAGTGAGTGTGTGTCTGTGTGTGTCTGTTAGTGAGTGTGTGTGTGTGTGTGTGTGTGTGTTAGTGAGTGTGAGGGTGTTTCTGTTAGCTAGTGTATGCGTATCTGTCAGTGAATGTGTGTGTGTGTATTTAGAAGGCGGGGCAGGGGGAAGGGTTGGGTGTGGGTGTGGGGCGCCTGAGTTTTGTCCTTCATAGTGCAGCACAAAACCAGGATACATCACTGAGCAGAAGACATCAGATATGATGTTCCAGGCTGTGCTTTAGCAAACACTATGAAACAGAAACATGGGATCACTTAAAATAAACAGAATGCATTAATATATAGCATAGCTATTTCACATAATGATCATTAATTGCAACAAACAAACAGCTGCCCTGGATTTTAAATATGAAGTTTTATTTAAGGCGCGAACACATTAATTCGGAAGAAATCTTTAAAATTGTAATAGCAATTATTTCAGATCGCTGTTAATAACACAGGATTAAAATCTACAATGATAATAATAATAATAATAATAATAATAATAATAATAATGATAATTACTATTACAGAACAATCCTGACCATGACTTTAAAATTATCTACAAATGTTAAACATATATATTTTTTTTTATATTGCTTTATGTCAGCTACATTTTGACAAATGTAAATTCTACTGCATCTGTGAAATCTTGGCAATGGCAGCTGGAGCAGCATTTAATTCTCTTTGTGTTAAATTGTTCTCATTTGAATTTCAGCTCACCTTTAATGTCACTGGAAAAGCAGATGACAAAGGGATCTGCAGTTGTTCTGTTCAGATACCTGATAACACGTTCCCGGTTGCAAGAATGGAAGTGCTGGAAAATACTGCAAGTGCACTTTCACTGAAAGTGGAGAGAGAAATTTCAAAGGTAAGTGAATTATAAATAGAATTTCCTATTCAAAAAGAGAGAGAAATCACACATGTATGCATAATTGTTGACAAACTTGATTCATATGTAAAAAGAAATGTGATGCTGACTAGGACTGAGCGAAAAAATGTGCTTACAAAAACTCAAGCAAATGATACACATTCTTTCACATTTTCTTTAAACTACAACTACTTTTTTGCCTATGGATGAGGCCTGCTGTGGTGGTTATGATGCCAGGAGTGGCTTTGCGCCCTCCCAGGGTAAGTATTTAAAGCATTTAAGAATGGTTTGAAAACTTACCTGAGGTCCATAAGCAATTTGCAGACTACTACTCTGGAATCAGGGGTCCCTAATGCCAGCTGCACTAAGTTTGCCATGCGCGGATGGCTCATTGGTTGAGAGCGTCAACCAAGCTCCTCCTTGCACTGCCAGGCTGCAGAAGAGGCAGAGGCCAGCAGTGGGACCTGGTTGATCCCAGGTAAGTAGTTAAATTATTATTATTTTATTATTTATATAGCGCCAGCAAATTCTGTAGCGCTGTACAATGGGTGGACTAACAGACACGTAATTGTAACCAGACAAATGGACGCACAGCAAAAGAGGGGTTGAGTGACACAAAGGAGAAGAGGGAGTGGGGTATAATGACACAAAGTATATAAGTAGGGGTAATGAAATAGGTTGCTAGAAAAGTATTGACTGAGAACCTAGGTTATTTTTGACAGTTGCAGGAGAGGAGCCAAATAAGGGGTGGGGGTGGGGAGGGGTGGGGGGATGAAAACCCACTAACAGTTTAAGTGATATGCTTTCCTAAATAAGTGTGTTTTCAAAGACTTTTTGAAGGAGTGGAGACTGGGTGAAAGTCTAACAGAGAAGGGAAGCAAGTTACACAGAAAAGGTGCAGCCCTGGAGAAGTCTTGGAGGTGAGCATCAGATGTGGGAATACGGACAGTGGATAGACATAGGTCTCCGGCAGAGCGCAGGGGCCTCGACAGAACATACTTGTGTATTAGGGAGGATAGGTAAATCTGTGCCCTATGTTGAAAGGCTGGCACCATAACTGCTTCAGTGAGCTGTAGCGGTTATGGTGATTTGAGTATTCTTAAAAAAATTTAAAACAGCTGAACACTACATAACAATGGAGCCATGATAATGACTTCCACTCATACCCACTAATGTGAACTGCATTATGGTGACATTGTAAAGTCATTTTCATGAAAGGAACAGTATAGCTTTAGGAATACAAACTTGTCCCGTCCCCACATTTTTTTCCTCGTCTTGGTTAGGTCTCCTTCTCACGATTATGGTTACACTAAATGCGCATACGCATACAAACTTTGCCATAGGAAAAAACACACAAATGGGTCAGCGCATAGTAACAAAAATAAATAGACAACAAGGCTGAAACCCTAAGAAGGGGATCCCTCTCAACCCTTCAAAATAACACAAGGAAAAAGACAGAGAAGTACTGTGAGTCTTGTTCCAGCAGTGCAAATGGTCACATATAGAAGTGTCTCTTTTTCAAGAAGTAGATGCAACTGTGATTTCTAAGTTCTTTATGCTTGGGGATGTGGAAGGTCTGAGTGTCTTTAATCTCAGTATGTGGGTAGATGAAAAAGACAAAATAACCTAATAGTGCAATATGTCAAGACTAAATAGGCCATGCATAGGTAATAGTGATATTGCGCTCATATGACCATCTCCAGTGTGTATTGCATATAGTGGTATAATCCCCATTTATGGGATATGGTGAAGGTCGTTCACAGCAGATGGTTGTCCAAGTACTCAGAGAGGGAATAAAAATAGCCAGAAATAGTGCTCTCAATAAGACAATAAGAACTGTATAAAATTAAACAAAATTGTACTCACAAGTGTAGAGCAGGCTCCCTGCTCTATGATGATAGCGTTGATGGTATGCAGTGGTTCTGGGATTTTCTTATGAGTCGGGATCATAAAGTAGAATAAAAAAAAAAATATATAAAAATTTAAAAATAAAATAGTATATTTAAAAATGCCAGGAAAAAATGTTGAAATAAAAAGGTGATGGTACAATAAATTATTGTAAAACCAAAATCCTTTATTGAATTAGATAAAAAAGTAATGTCCATAGCGCGTTTCGTCATAAAAGACTTTCTCAAATGGATTAGAAAGTCTGTTATGATGAAACGCATTATGGACATTCCTCTAGAATGTAAGCTCATTAAGCAGGGCCCTCCACCTCTCTGTTCCTGTACGTCCAGTTGTCTGGTTACAATTATATGTCTGTTAGTACACCTATTGTACAGTGCTACGGAATCTGATGGAGCTATATAAATAATAAAATAATAATAATAATAATAATAATATGTAACCATTTGTACTGCTGGAAAATGACTCACAGTACTTTTGTTTAATTTTATGTGGCGCATTCTTCTCTGTCTTTTTTTTTGCCACAGGAAAGCATTGAATCAATGGGGATCATAGAAGATGTTAGACGTCCTCATGCAGGGCCGGTGCAAGGATTTTTGCCGCCCTAGGCAAAAGTAAAGTTTGCCACCCCCCTCATGTGACATCACAATGTCCCACCCATATGATCTCCTATGTTAACTAACGCCAGTGCTGCAGTGCCGCCGTGTTTACATTAAAAGGCCTGCAGGGACAGGCTATAGACACCAGAACCACTACATTGAGCTGCAGTGGTTCTGGGGACTATAGTGTTTCTTTAATGTGAGGTAAATTAGAGATTAGTGCCACGAATAATATACTAGATTGCCTACTTACAACCAGATGAGTATGATGATGGGCTCTAGCTGCAGTCTGGCTCCACTGGTCTGGTGTAGAACAGGCTCTCTGGAGGCTGTTTGTAACTGTGGTCACAAAATCAATGTTCTGGGAGAACGGGAAGCAGCTCCATTTTTTGGGGGGCCCTTTACACAGCTCAAGGTCTGGGTCCCAGGGTCCACCTTCATGTTCCACCAATGAGTTTGTTCACAGGGGGTGTAGTGTGTAGGGGATGTCCTGATATGTGTGTAAGGAATGCATTGTGTGAATCTGTGTTTGTATGTGTAAGGGCTGCAAGGTGTGTTTCTGTGTATGTACGGGATCCAGTGTGTGCGTCTGTAAGGGGTGCATTGAGTGTGTGTAAGGGGTGCATTGAGTGTGTGTGAGGAATGCATTGTGTGTTTCTGTGTGTGTAAGGGATGCATTGTGTGTAAAGGTTGCATTGCTTGTGTGTGTGTGTCTCTGTGTGTGATGCATTGTGTGTAATGCATTGTGTGTTTTTCTGTGTGCAAGGGGTGCATTGTCTTTGTGTGTAAGGGGTGCATTGTGTGTGATTGTGTGTGTGTGTGTGTGATGGATGTCAATCTCTCCCCCCCTCCCTTGTCACTCTCTTCTCCCCCTTGTCCCTGTCTTCTCCCCCTTCCCTTGTCACTCTCTTCTCCCCCCGTTGTCACTCTCTTCTCCCCTCCCTGTCAATTTCTTTCTCCCCACTCCCTGTCAATTTCTTTCCCCCCTTTCTGTCAATTTCCTTCTCCCCCTCCCTGTCAATTTCTTTCTCCCCACCCTCCCTGTCAATTTCTTTCTCTCCCCTCCTGTCAAATTATTTCTCCCACCCTCCTGTCAGTTTATTTCTCCCCCTGTCAATTTATTTCTCTCCCCTCCCTGTCAATTTCTTTCTCCCCCCCTGTCAATTTATTTCTCCCCCCATCAATTTCTCCCCGTCACATTTTCTCCCCCTCCCTGTCAATTTCTTTCTCCCCCCTCCCAGTCAATTTTTGTCAATTTCTTTTCTCCCATCAATGTCAATTTCTTTCTCCCCCAATTTCTTTCTCCCCTGTCAATTTCTTTCTCCCCCTCCCTGTCAATTTTTTTCTCCCCCTCCCTGTCAATTTCTTTCTCCCCCCCTCCCTGTCAATTTCTTTCTCCAACCTCCCCTACCTCTGTTGTAGCATGGCCGATCTCTGTATGGTCTGCGTTACAGGGAGCTTTTGTTTCCGGTACCTGGCCTGACTAAAAGGAAGTTCACACTCATTGTTAGTCCGGCCGGGTACAGGAGACAGATGCTCCCTGAACCCGCGGACCATACAGGGCTTGGCCACGCTACAGTAAGGGAGTGACAGGAGGGAGCGCTGAGTGATTCCCTCCTGTCAGCTCCTCTCCTCAGCTGCGCCCAGGCGGTGCGCCCTCATGGACGCACCAGCCCGGGCAAAGCTGCAGCCGTCTGAGGCTCTCTACAGAGCGCTCGGGTGGCTACAGCATGAGGGGGGCCGGCGCCCCTTCTCAAGGGGCGCCCTAGGCGGCTGCCTAGTCCACCTAATAGGTAGCGCCGACCCTGTCCTAATGCAAAGCGTGAGAGCATCCAACGTCAAGTAGTGGAGTAAAACTCCATAGGGACCTGGAAATGCCTTTGCAAGGCAACCACTAGAGGTGAATGTAACCCTGTAATATAATCATTGCAGTTTCTCAGAAAATGCATTGCATTATTAAACAGACAGGGGCACTGCACCCAGACCACTTCAATGAGATGAAGTGGTCTGGGTGCCTGTAACATCCTTTTCAAGCAATGCTACACAGGACAATTTTCAAAATGACAGTCATTTTTTCAGTGCTCTGTATTAAAATTGCAAAAAACAATCACAAAGTCTTGTTTACAGATATAGAATATGTGATGAAGCAAACTGATGCTAATGAGGGCACCGAACACTAGAAACTATAATATAAAATATGATTTGGATTATGTGATATGTGACACAGAACAAATATCAATCAATAAACTCAAAAAAGCAACAACGAAAATAAAATGCATTCTGTGGGTTTATGTGTAAAGCTGTACAATCAGCCATTATATAATATGAATTTCTGCTATTAACTCTAATAGTTATTATCAAGCTAGGCAAACAATGTGTCCCTAGGAGGTATTGTGTTGATGGTCCTACACAGTCCTCCAAGTTTATAACCAGAAACACTGAAAATATTTTGTATTCATTTAACCTCAGAGAATTTAGATCATGAATATTATTGTGGTGTCGTAAAGCTGTTTATTTAAGCAAATCTTTATTGTTCAATAATCAGATAAAGTAAGCCATTATCTTCATCCTGTTTTAGCAGAACCAACTGGAAATATTCCTGATGTAATGTTCCCCTGGCTTCCCTTAGATCAAGTTGCAAACAGGCCAGTCAGGGGTGATTGCATCTGTGAAATGCAGGTCTGTCATGTGTCAATGACATCAGTCTGTCACAGAATGCAGGCTCCTTCATTCTAAGCATCAATGACCCCATACATTTCACAGACGCCTAACTCAACACATTGGAATTATTCTGTTAACTGTTTCAGAATCCCATTATCTTTGTCAATATAATGGAATCTAAATATTGCCTGTCAGTGTCGAGTTTTCCACATCTGTAAACATAAACGGTTTCTTTGCTAAACAGTGAACTACAAATTCTTAATTTAGGGCCAAATAGACATTTACTTTTTTCCATTTGCAAATTTGGTTTTAATTATTGCAACCATTCAATGTTATTATCTAAATCACTAATCGTCATGGATTGACAAAGGAATTCCAAATTGAAAGCTAAAAATTGATAGCTAAAAATTGACATTTCCTGGTGAATTCCTTATTATTGAATATTTATGTTGGTCTTCAATGCAGCTCAGTTCAGTATTAAGAGAATATGCCACTCTGATTTACATCCTTTAGGGCATTATTTACTAAACACTACCAAAATCCAAATTAATTAAAAAATGTTTTTTCTAGAATAATCAAGCTGTGATTATAGCAAAGTTAATAAAACACATAACTGTAAATATTATTACTGGAGGTCTGGCATAAACTCCAAACCAACAAACCAAGAATAGTGAGCTTACAAAAGAGTGGTAATGGAATGGAAAAGAGGGACAGAGGGATTTGGGCAAACCAGGAACTGTCACTCCTAAATATGGACACTTGGGAGGTATGGTGAATACAGATTGTGATAAACCATCTGGCAGCCCGACTGGGTACCTCCGTCAATCGCTGCTTCCTAGTACTTGTGAACACCATAAGCACTGTACTGGAACACCGTAACCACCGTAGACCCCATGAACCGCCGCAGCTGGGTAAACAAATCTCTCTTTTAATGGGAGCCACACTGGCCTTTTATGCAAGTCCCCAAGCAAGGTGTACGCCCACATGGACCTTGTTGGGGACAGGGACACAAACTTACAAACTAATAATAACCGAGTTACAATGCATGACACTCCCACATACAATACAATAAGCCTTCCCTTTTACTTAGGAGATAATTGAGTCAAGCACTATACTAAACTGAATATATCCTAAAATCACCCAGATCAGTTCAGTGATTCAGAAATTTTATGGAAGTCATAGTTTTTACCGACCGCAGGTATGGTCCCATAGCCAAAAATAGTTCCATAGAATGGTGGCTAAGTGCCGCTGGGGAACCGACCGAGAACCGCAAAGTTTTCATGCCTAAAATAGTTCCAGGGCATTCGCGGCTAAGTCTCCCTGAAGTCTATTCGCGGTTTTGGTCCATTCGAACAAGATGGCCGTCACCACGTGTTTGAATGCCATTCCAAATGGCTTCGGGAGTTCGAAGTGCTGCTTCAAAAGTTTGAATTGTTCCTGTTAGAAGTCCAAGAGGCACAACCAGAGTCTTTAACCCAAAATTCATTACAGGGGCCATAGTCACAGGGCAGGAGGCTGGCAAACAGGCCCCTCCAAAAGCCAGTGGTGAAGTTACTTTTGTCACACAGATGTCTGTAAGTATATGTGCAAAACAGAGACATACATGCCTTTAATTAATGGGAGTCAGATTTGTGGACTGCAGCAGCAGCAGCAACCATTCATTCATGCTGAAAATATGCCAGGCAAGAAGAATTTAGGCCATTAAAGCCAAATTATTATATTTTCCATATTAGCTATATTTCGAGTTAGGATCTTTTTGCCTAAGATTCACACCTTAGTGAAGAACTGTATGTGTACAGTGAGGGGAAAAAGTATGTGATCCCCTGCTGATTTTGAATGTTTGTCCACTGACAAAGAAATGATCAGTCTATAATTTTAATGGTAGGTGTATGTGAGAGAAGGAATAACAAAATAAAAATCCAGAAAAAGTTATAAAATAAAATGAGGGTTCACACTCTATTCTTACCCTAATCCTTGGGGTAAGGGTTAAAATAAAGTGTGAGAAATAACCATTTATAGATATTCCCCTAATGTGAAATATCACTAAATATGAACAAGTCCCTAATCCTAACCCTAATTTGAACCCTAACATTAACCCTAAATGTCCCGTGTGCCTAAGCTTAGTGAATGCACTAGCTATAATGAAAGTGTCCAGGACCTTGCTGTCGAAGAGTAGCAGGAGTGCTAGCACGCATGTGCAGCACAGGATCCAGCTGATTTCCCTCACCTGAAGTGACGAGGGTAGGGGATTTTCACGGGTAGGGAAATTTGATAGAACACCTGCCTCTAAGCTAATACAAACAAGAGCTAATGAAACAGGATCTGTTGTTTGGTTGATAGCTAGGGGTGTAACCAGTAAAATGTATAAAAGTGCTTTTGAAAAAAGGGTAAAAAGGACATACTCTCTACACACAAAGCACTTCAGAAAACCAAAGTACTTTATGTGAGGAGTGGCCCTTTAATAAGAAGGGGGTTACATGTGAATAGGCATGAAAAAGATGACATGCTAACAATATTATACATGCCTATAATACAACCAGGAAGAAGAGTAAAAACCATATTAAGAGTATTAAAGGACAACAATTCATTTTGTATTCCAAATAGAGGAATTGATTGTTAGATTAGTTTTTGATAACGAGAAGAGAAATAACAGACGATCAATGGCTAACCTTGAAGTACAGAGTTTAAAAGGTCAGAGGAAAATGTATAATAGGTTATAATCAGGGTAGAGGTTATCTAAATGGTAAACTGATGAGAACAAAGCCTTAACAGAAAACTAAGCGGTAACAAGTGCTTCATTGTCATTTGAATTTGTCAATTATTATTTTTTTGTCTTAAAATGCGTTTGCTTGACATATGTTTTGCACTGCTCTCTTGTTCTCTGTTTTTACAAATCTTTTTTCTTTTATTAATAATTTAACAACTGATAAAATATTTTAATCAGACTGGAAATTCGTCATGTATTGGCAGGAGGAGCTTCTGCAAAAGTCTTTTAGTGCAGAACAAGCAGAGCTGTTCAAAGGATCAAAAATAGTAAATTTATCTAATACATACTAGTTCGAAATAACACCACAGTGTTTAGAAAGATTACTACTAGCGTGGCCACAAAGATGTACACTAATGAATATTTAAACAGAAGAAGACAGCAGAAAATAATTGAAACTAATAGTAGTAGACAGAACGAGCAGAACCCAAGCAGTTAGATAGAAGAACGGAAAAGTCATTTTTGTTAAATAGTGTCCATTGAACTTTGAGAGGCAACTGTCCAAGGATGCTATTACCCCTGTCAGGCTGCCAAACTCTGTGTCAGGTTGGTTTATCTGCAATTTACAGTAAGCATTGCTCATTTAAGCATAGGTAGCCCAAGGCTAATTTACTTGCCTTATTCTGAGTTTTCAGAAAATGTCCTCAGCAACATTTCATGCATGAATCAGTGTCCTTTTCTGATTTATTCAGTTTCCCCTCTATTTCCTTATTATCCTGACCCACTTAACTTGTACCCTAATCAGGAAGAATTTTATATAAGTTTCTTTAACCAAGATGTGCTTGGTTCTTGTATTAACAACTTGAAAATGCTTTAAATGAAATGTGAATTCTATAAACCTATTTTTGTGTCTTTAATAAACCACGTGTGCTTACCTGTTCAACCTATGCTTTTATTAATTGTAGTACAACTACAATTGGTATTTTATTGGACTGAACCAATTTACTAGAATTGATAGCTAGTTAAGCAACAAGAGGCTGTACACTTAATATGTATACTCACCAAAATTACTATTAAGATCCTAAGGGCCCGAGGCTGGGAGTTGATGTAGAAACTGTAATTTTGTATCCAAGTTTGTACAACCGAGCTTTGTAATGCTATTGGCTTCAAAGATTTTCACAACCGAACAAATCATTTCTGGCATATATGAATCTTATATTTACATCATCCAACATGCAGCCCGTAGTATGATGGTAGTACTCAGCAAGTCCACCATTTGCTTGTGATTTTATTTTATATTCCCAGAATTTCTTGAGTTAAGTCCCATTTTGATTAAATGGGACTAAGGATAGCAGTTGAGCTTATTGACAACTCAAGACTGGCTCAACTTTATACAAACACAATGCGTTTCCAAGATGTGTGTGACGAGACCAATCTCGCCACATTGCATTGGAGGAGCCTGGTTGCCCACCTGCTGCCTTTGGATTATGGACCGGCAGCTAAAGGGTTAATTTTACTGTGCAGAAGGATTTATTTCTCCCTTTCTGCACAGCCGTTCGGTAGATTCTATTTACCGAACAAACAGTTTCTTTTCAGCCTCCCCAGAGCCGTGGGAAGCCGGCCGGCGACGTTAATTGGCCACCCAGAAGCTGGCGTGTGCCCTCCATTTACCTCCTAAACCGCGGCTTAACGAGCGTGTGCCGGCAACTGACCACCCAGTAGCTGCGGTTAACCGCAGCTTAATTGATTGTTACTGGGTGGTCGCGGTTACACTTAGCCACCACACGATGGCGGTGTTCTGGAGCTCCCCGGGCAGCCAGCGCTTTTCTGCCCGGCTTTCCTGCATCAAACCCGGACACTTTTACGTGCAGGCACCGCTGAACCTCCACCCCCTGGTTCTAATTCGTACGGATTTAACGAATGCATGTAAATTCGGTATTTTGTGTTGGGGGAATGTTTTAACCCAGATAGCTATGCCATGGAGCCTGTTCGTGGAATTAAAGACTTTGGCTCCATGGCAATTAAACTGTATTCGTGTGGTCTGAGTGCCATTCACCTAATCATGTGCACTCAGACCTGAGCTATCTGGGGATATGTTACATGTATATATTTACTGTACCATTTGTCCCATTATGTATTTTAAAGTGATAGTCTGTCTTTGTGTCCCCACGTGTGTAATGGAGTTTTGCCTTTGTCCTGGGAGATAATTGAATTACTTCTCCAGGGCAGAGGGGAGGAAGCCAGGATGCATTGTGGGGATGTTTTACTTCTGTATGTCTGTAATTGGTACATGTCTGTCTTTTGTTACAGTCTTCCATCTGGTCCCCTAGGGGAGTGTCCACCAGGTGGGAGACCTGCATAAATACTGGGCAGGTAGCCCTCATTAAACAGACCACTGCTTGACCCACAACACGGAGCCTTGTCTCGTCTTTGTTAATGCTATCAATGGAGAGATTTCAGTTGTGCTCCTACTTAATATCCATTATATCGCTTAGTATGTATTGAATTTGGGTGTAGATTTTACGGTTAGCATTGAACAATTTGCTATTTAATTGACAGATAAATACATTCAAATAGTAGTATCTCAATTACACCTCTCAGTCTGACGTATCTATTTCAGATTTCTGAATACACAAGATCTATACAATTCTATGAACAAAGAATTCGAAACCTCTCCATTAAGGTTGAAACAATGGAGAAAACCAGTATTTCATACACGCAACTGGACTTTGAGTTTCTAAAACTGGAAATCGCCGAAATGGAAAAATTGGTTTCTCAGCTAAAAACATCTGTAACTGGAAATGTCATTGTTGAACAACTATACACAGAGGTAAGGTTATACAATATGAAATACATTATAACTTCAATAACAGGAAGTAGTCTTGCTCCAAAATCTGCAACATCAAAGTCTACACATTAGGGGTAATAATAGATGTGCCCAATTTTATTAACTGAAATATTAACGCTACATTAGACAACAATCTTTAAAGGACCACTATAGGCACTTAGAACCCTTCAGCTTAATGAAGTGGTCTGGGTGCCAGGTCCATCTAGGGTTAACCCTGCCTGTGTAAACATAGCAGTTTACATATGGGTTAATCCAGCCTCTAGTGGCTGTCTCATTAACAGTCGCTAGAGGCGCTTCCGCGATTCTCACTATGATTTTCAGTGAGAAGACGCCAGCGTCCATAGGAAAGCATTGAGAATGCTTTCCTATGGACTGACTGAATGCGTACGCGGTTCTTGCCGCACATGTGCATTCTGCCGATGATGACCGAAGGAGGAGGAGAGTAGCCAGCACCGAGGGAGCCTGGTAAGTGATTTAACCCCTTCAGCCTGGCGGGAGGGGGACCATGAAGTTGGGGGGGACCTATTAATAATATAGTGCCAGGAAAATGAGTTTGTTTTTCTGGCACTATAGTGGTCCTGTAACTTGTCATTGACATAAGGATGTATGGAAGTTTAAGTCCTTTTTCAGCCATATTACTTGTGATTATGTGATTATGTGTTTAATTATTAACATACTGTACTTAAAGAGAAAAACTAATCATCAAGACTTGGCCAATGTCCAGGCTAATGTTTACTTATTTATTTTTATTATTATTTAGTTCACATTAAACATTAGAAATTACTATTTCGTATTTTCACACTTCTCTTGTCCTCTCACTCATAACATGATGTTATCACAAATATCTGCACTATCCTGCAAGACTTTATGATAATCTATCAATAAGATAGGTCATATAGCCATTATATGAATGTTTGTGCTAGAGCGTTATGAAACAATGGGTTGTGTCAATCAGAAGATTACACAACCCAAACCACAATTTAAATAAATTTGCACAAAACTCTTCATTCATAGTTCCCAGTTAGTAAGCTAATTGTTTCTGAGTTTGCTTCACATTGAACACCTAAGAAAAGATTTCAGTACAAGAGAGCTCAGTGAGCATTCAAAGTGTCTCTATGAACTTTTCCCAGCTTCTGTTGCTTTGTGGAAATAAATTAACGCATGGTGTCATGAGTGAAGCTAACTGAATCTGGTTCCGTGGCAAGTTGTTAAATTACAACTCCTATAAAACCCTTCTATACAAATGTTTATTGGAAAAGCATATAGGAGTAGTGATGTCCCGAACGGTTCGCCGAACAGTACGCCGCGGACGGCGAACATATGCGGTAAACTTTGGCCCTGTACCTCACAGTCAGCAGACACATTCCAGCCAATCAGCAGCAGACCCTCCCACCTCCTGGACAGTCTCCATTTTACATTCATTATGAAGCTGCATTCTTAGTGAGCTGTCCAGGAGGTGGGAGGATCTGGGAGGGAGGGTCTACTGCTGATTGGCTAGAATGTGTCTGCTGACTGTGAGGTACAGGGTCAAAGTTTACTGCATATGTTCGCCGTCCGCGGCGAACCGTTCGGGACATCACTATATAGGAGCACTAGGAATTGCTCAAACGTTTTGGAATTTACTGCAGAAGCTGCAAATCATAGAGATTTTGTGAGTACTTCTTTTTTATTTAAACTTTAATGAATGAACTCCTTCCTAGCATGTCCTTTTATCCCAACTACACATGATCTATTGTTCCTAAACACAATCGTAATAATGTGAAAAGTGTGATTTGATATTCCTAAACATGAAAATAAAGTTTCAATACCTAAGAACATCACATGTTTTTCTCATTATTGTTTTGCACTTTATTCTGTATTGTAGAGCAGCCTCTTGCTCTGGAAGTGCTTAAGGGACAAAATGCAAAAGAGAATATATTTTTAAATGTCTTATATTTTGTCAACTCTGAAAGAAAAATATGCTGGTGCACACACACTCATACATGCAGGCATAGACTTTATTTTCATGTGGCAAAATGTTTTTTCATGTGTCTACGTGCCTATACTTTTTGCTGTTGTAGACATTTAACCCACTGTGAATGTATTTCAAAGGGGTTGCAGTTCACATTTTCAGTTGTTACTTATCCTGAAGCAGATTTTTATTTTACTGAAATCCAGTATTTATAAGGATAAATTTGGAAAGTAATTTCCTGCTGCAAATGTTCCCATTCTTTCTTTTGCAGATTAAGAATATGACTCTGATGGTACATCAGCTAGAAAGTCTAGATAAGAACAATGTCCTTGCAATCCGCCGAGAAATTGTTGCTCTAAAGAATCGTTTGAAGGAATGTCAAGAGCACAGCGGCAAAGAAAATTCATACATCCCAGCTGGTGAGCAGCTCTTTCTACACTTATTACAAGATACTAATTTCATCCACTTTAGTAGATAATGAAGATGCAAAGGGGTAGAAAAAAATAAAATAAATACATTTAAAAAAAATAAAATAAAAAACATGAAAAGAAACCTATGTAAAAAAATTTAAAAGTACTTTTGACATTTGCATTGAGTCCAGTAACTTATTAACTACTTCTTCATCGGTTCATTTTAATGTGAAGACCATGAGTGCAAACTTCCTCTTTGCAAGTATATATATATATATATATATATATTTATTTATTTAATTTACCATTTAATAGAAGTTTGCCAATGAACACATACATGCACTTAATTATGCTTTCCTTTCATTGGGATACATCTATAAACGGCTTGCAAAAGCTGCAGATCTTGTGTCTGCAGCCTTTGCAACCCTCTCTTCTCTAGATGAGACTTTTTGTGGCTGTCCAGTTACAGACTTCCCAATGCAACACAGTGAGAAATCATTGCAAGGCAGGTGTTCTGAGCAATTGGTGAGCTAACAACCAGGAAGTAGCAGGGCCTGTTGTCTGATTGAAAGCCAGGAGATGTAACAAGGTTAATTTAAAAGTGTAGATTGGATTAGCCGTATTAGTCCAGTAGACAAGATGGCAAAATACTAGAGTATTGCAGTATGCAATGATACCTTTAATATTTCACAGACAAGATTTTAAGAGTTGTCTTCTTTACTCAGGTCTGAAGCAATACTGATCAATCTGATAGAGATTAACACTTAAAACAACTGATGGTGGGGAAGGGGAGTGGGTGAGGGGATATTGACTCTCCTCTGTTTATTTACTTTTTCTGGCTTTTCTCAACCAATCTGTACCCTTCAGGCACACCTAATGCTATTTATAACAGCTAATTCAACCCCTTCACAAGCTTTAATCATGCTTGTACTGGCCATACGGACTGGCAAATGCCCAGTGAGGCGAAAGCCTTTAACCCCTTAAGGACACATGACATGTCTGACATGTCCTGACTCCCTTTTATTCCAGAAGTTTGGTCCTTAAGGGGTTAAGAGAGTGTGGCCCTGTTTAGGAAAGTGCTGGGCTAGAGTCCACAGGATAATTCCTCATTTCAATAAAAAAAAAAAAAAAAATTATATTGCTTTAAATTATAGAATCAAGGGACATTAAAAGCAAGAATAAACTTAAATATGAATGCAAGCTAAAATGTATTTATTTTTTCTTACCAGCAAGCATAATTACCCTTTATTTTGTATTTTTTTTTCTCCCAGTTAAATTATACATTTTCATATCTCTTATTTCTTTTTTTAACCGCGTTTTTATAGGTACTTGCAGTCATGGTGGTATTGTGAATATCAGCAAACCTTCTGTGATTCAACTGAACTGGAAAGGATTTTCCTTTAAATATGGAGCCTGGGGTAAAGATTATTCCATCCTTAAAAAAGAAAATTCTGCGTACTGGGTCGCCCCTTTGAATGCAGATGCCAGATACCTGGAGTACTATCGATTGTACAACAGTTATGATGATTTACTTTTGTACAGAAATTCTAGAGAGAACAGAGTGGATTACGGGCAAGGCAGTGGTCATGTGGTTTATGATAGCTTTCTTTTTTATAACTGTCATGGTTCTGGAGATATGTGCAAGCATGATGTAAATGGAAACAAACTGGCTCTTCGAAGAAACCTCCCAGGTGCGGTGTTTAACAATCGTTTCTCTTATGCCGGTGTAGCTTGGCAGGATATTGATTTTACTGTGGATGAAAGTGGTTTGTGGGTCATTTATTCCACTGAGGCTAGCACAGGTAATATTGTCATCAGTAAGCTCAATGACACAACACTTACAGTAGAAAATACTTGGCAAACAAGACAATATAAACCTTCTGTGTCCAATGCATTTATTGTCTGTGGGGTTCTGTATGCGGTCCGGCCCGTGAACACCAGGAAGGAAGAAATATTTTATGCATATGATACAAAGACAAATCAGGAGATCAGTGTAAACATAATGATTGATAAGGTCTTGGAAACTATGCAGAGTATTAATTATAGCCCGGATGACCACAAATTACATGTTTATAATGATGGTTATCTTCTGTCATATCAACTGGAATTTCAGCCACTCCCAAACTGAGACATAATGAATTCTGATGGCTAAATCTTGGCTTCATATAGTGTAACCTGCAATATCTCAGCAAAGTCAGTTCATGTGCATCAAATAGAGCCAGCATTAGATAGATAATGTATAGGAATCTCTTGCTATATGTTTAAACCCTTAAGGACACATGACATGAGTGACATGTCATGGTTCCCTTTTATTCCAGAAGTTTGGTCCTTAAGGGGTTAAGGACTACTTAATTTCAACCGTTGTAACAAGTGCATATCACATTAAAGAAATCTGTGAGATATTCAAAAAATAGCTGAGGCATCTTATGTGTTCAATTCTTGTGCCCTATGCAGCTCACACCAATATGTAAGAATATTGGCCAGTGGCCACATAACCTTTTTTTTGCCTACTTTTTTTGTTACTTTTACTTTGCGTTAGAGTTGCCACATGGTGAACTGCACATCACTCTTTCGCTTAGGGGTCTGCATGTTCTATTGTTCTTTTCGTGGGGAATGCTCTGTATTCTGCTAAATTGTGTTTTCATGTATTTATGTCTCTGCTTAAATAAAACTTTGAATAAAAAAAAAAAAAAAGAACCTATCCAGAGTGCTGCTTTGGTTATGCTGCCTAGCCTGCCTTTTTTAACTACCTACCTCTACCTCTCTCACATATGCAGCAGATTTCAGGCATCAACTAACTATATCCAAAGTCGAGTTTAGACAGTGACCCCTATATATGTCAACAATTACAGTTCATGTGACTTGCAGTCAGAATTTTGTGTTTACTCATGAAACAATAAGTTCCGGAGAGCCGAAGAGAGCAGACAAACCAAGAAGCAAAACAGATTTTAAAATAATAATAATAATATTTTAAATTGTTTTCACTGTAACAATGTTGGCATTATGAACTCAGACCTGTTTAGTGGATATACCCTTATGGCAGCTTGGACAATAAGACAAAACATTTTAGGTTATTCAAAAATAATTATGACCGTGTTATTAGTAGTTAATTATACTATGTTATTGTTGAAGAAAACCATACTCTAATAAAATATATGATAAATATCAAAGGAAATATATATATTTATACATTGTGCTCTATCTGTTCTGCAGATCTGCATGTGGGAAGCATTTCTATGTATCTCATTTTGTTTCTTGTTTTGTTTTTGCAGTCCATTATTTGTTTATCTTCTTGTTATTACTCTGTGCTGTTTTGCTATTTACTTGGCTGTATATTTGTTACGCTTTTGCCAATGCTCTTTGTGTTTGCATTTTGCATTTTCTCTGGCTTGAATTGTTACTTTCAGACAGATGGACAGTTGTCTGAATAAGCTATCTCAATCTGGATGCCAAATGCTAGGAAAATATTCATGCTGCTGGCACTGTGGCCATTTTCTTACAAATTACACAGAGGGAATTATTATTCTGCCAATATTCTACTTCTGAATATTCTGAATGCCTCTAATATTCAAGTTATATGTTACGCAACATCAATAAAATAGTATAACGTATCAAAAACGATGGTGGGATACTATTTTTTGCTCAGTCTATTGTGCCATGGACATTTTAAATAGCACAGGTTAAAGTGCTTAGTCTACTTAAAGAGTTAATGTCAACATTAAACAAACAAATAGGAGTACTGCCCCTTGTTTCAATTTGAAATTAACAAACACAGAAAACAAGGCAACAGAGAAGGGTTGTTTTTTTTTTTTTTTTTTTATGTTTTCCCCCTCTTGTTTTTCTCCTGGCATCTGTCTATGTCATTTCAGAAATGAAACAAAATGTTCATTGTTGCATCTGACAAAACAGTAAAGAATTGTGCTCAATACAAAGCAGGAAGACGTCAGGTCACAAAATCCCTTAATTCCCTAAGGGTGTAGGAAATGGTTTTCTAGAGGCTGTTTCCAGGCCCCAAAAAGATTTGGTTTTAAAAAAGATAGGGTGAATTTAAATATATAACATTAAAATATATGTGCAGTTTGTTTGTATTTGATATTCTTGTACATTTATTAGTAATGAGATAATATGGTAATTTTGACTATCTCAGTAATTTTTTCCAAATATGCTAATGTGCTAATGCCAGTTGAATAGTGCTGACTAGTATTTGTTGACACCCCTCTAGCAGCATATGAATGCTACACATCCTGTACGTTTCATGCTGTTAGACCTGCGGTTTTCAGGGGCGCCACAAGATATTTTCCTGGTGCTATAATCATAGCACCGGGAACTGTGCTCTCCCCTCGTGAGCTTGGAGCGTTGCTGCACTTATCACAGCAACGCTCCAAATCTCGCAAGAGTGAACTCTAGCAGTTCCTGAGGCTGCTAGAGTTCACTCTCACCACTGGGACCACTACAGCTTGCCAAACGGACCACCAGGGATTGCAGGAAATGTACCCCCTCCTAGACAAGTAGGTAAGGTAAGCAGGGAGGGGGGAATATCATCTTTATTTTTAATTTAAAAAAAAATAAAGTATATATATTTATTAATTTGTCCCTTCTACTCCCACAGACCCCACACCACACACTACCCCCATAAACACACATTGCCCCCATACACATTGCCCCCATACACACACACTGTACCCCTCACACTCACTACCCAGCCACACACACTGCCCCCACCACACACACACTGTACCCCTCACACAACCTGCCCCCCACACAAACACTATACCCCTCACACACACACTGCCCGACATACACACACACTGCACCCCTCACTCACACACACACACACAAACTACATCCTTCACAAACACAATGCACCCCTCACACACACACACACACACACACTGCACCCCTGTACACACCAATGCACATGCACCTCTCACACACAATCCACCACTCACACACACATATTGCACCCCATACACATACACACAAACTACAGCCCCTACAGACAGTAGTTAAACAGTTTGACTACTTACCCTGGGAGGGTACTACGGCAATACTGACACCATAACCACTTTAAATAATCTACCAGTGCCATACCTGAATGGCAAGCATTTCTGCCAAACAGGGGCCCAGTATAGGCTGCAGCGCTGTACACATGGGCATCCGCAAGAAATTTTTCGGCATAATTGTAATGACATCCATGCTTGGTCCCTTTTTGACAGTGGCATGTAGGGGAGGAGCATAGTCATTATCACATAAAGCCAGGGTGAATAGCGTTTTCACATCTATGGTGTCAGGAAGTGTTTGTATTCCTGACACTATAGTGTTCCTTTAAGCAGGAACATTCTGGTCACCATAACAACGTCATCTAAATGAAAATGCTATAATGCCAGGAAGCTCTTTTTCCTTTAAGGGGTTAAACTGCTCTCAAATGGTTTAACCCCAAAGGCTTCCTCCAGCTCCAGATTTCCAGGTCGCTCAGTGGTATTCGGCTTCTGAAACAGAGTGTCAGGAAGTGCAGATTGACGTCAGGCATGGGTGCTACAGATTGGCTAGAGTGCTCAGTTGATGCTCTAAGCCAATCGCTAGTTCCCAGTTCATAAAAATGTTTTACTTTTTTATGAATGAGGAGCTACTGATTGGCTTAGAGTGACAGCTGAGCGCTCTAGCCAATCAGCGACAACCCTCACCAGTGGCTCTCTGTGCTTCCTGACACTCCGTAAATAAAAGTGAACCCATTAACACTGATATTTTTTTTTACCTGGGGAGATGAGAAGGTCCAAAGTTTCCCTTTTTCTTCTGACTCTGTCTTCTCTCCTCCTTGGCTCCTTCTGCTACTTTACCTTTTTGCTACTTTCTGCTTATTGTGCTCTCCCTTCTGCTCCTTTCTCTTACTGATCCCTTTCTGCTCCTTGCAGACCCTTTCTGCTCTTTCTCCTACTTTACCTTTGTGCTCCTTGCTGTCCCTTTCTGCTCCTTGCTACCCTTTTCTGCTCCTTCTCCTACTTTACCTTTGTGCTCCTTCTGATTCTTTCTGCTCCTTTACCTTTGTGCTCCTTCTGTCCCTTTCTGCTCTTTGCAGACCCTTCCTTCTCCTTGCAGACCCTTCCTGCTCCTTGCAGACCCTTCCTGCTCATTTCTGTTCCTTCTCCTACTTCGCCGTTGTGCTCCTTCTGTCCCTTCCTGCTCCTTGCTGCCCTTTTCAGATCCTTGCTGACCCTTGTTGCTCCGTCTATGCTACCTTTGTGCTGCTTTACCTTCCTGCTCCTTGCTGGCCCTTCCTGCTTCTTGCTGGTCCTTCCTGCTCCTTGTTGACCCTCCCTGCTCCTTGCAGACCCTTCCTTCTCCTTGTTGACCTTTCGTGCTCCTTGAACACCCTTCCTGCTCTTTGCTGCCCCTTCCTGCTCATTTGTGTTCCTTTGTGCTCCTTCTCCTACTTTACCTGTTGTGCTCCTTGCTGTCCCTTCCAGCTCCTTGCTGCCCCTTTCTGCTCATTTCTATTCCTTCTTCTTTCTGCTCTTTCCTTCTCCTTTCTGCTCCTTCTCTTACTTTCCTTGCTGACCCTTCCTGTAGGCTGTCTCCCCCATTCCTTACTTACCTGATCTATAGGCCATCTCTGCCCCCCCATGCCTCACTTCGCTATCTCTGCCCCCCATATGCCTCACTTCCCTGATCTGTAGGCTATCTCTGCCCCCCATATGCCTAACTTCCCTGATCTGTAGGCTATCTCTGCCCCCATCCCTCACTTCCCTGATCTGTAGGCTATCTCTGTCCCCCATCCCTCACTTCCCTGATCTGTGTCTCTGCCCCCATCCCTCCTTCCTGATATCTCTGGCCCCCATGATAGGCTATCTCTGCCCCCATCCCTCCCTTCCCTGATCTGTAGACTATCTCTTCCCTCCTCACTTCCTGATCTGTAGGCTATCTCTGCCCCCATCCCTCACTTCCTGATCTGTAGGCTATCTCTGCCCCCCATCCCTCCTTCCCTGATCTGTAGGCTATCTCTGCCTATCTGTAGGCTATCTCTGTCCCCCATCCCTCACTTCCCTGATCTGTCTCTGCCCCCCATCCCTCACTTCCTGATCTGTAGACTATCTCTGGCCCCCATCCCTCACTTCCTGATCTGTAGGCTATCTCTGCCCCCCATCCTCACTTCCCTGATCTGTAGACTATCTCTGCCCCCCCTCCCTCACTTCCTGATCTGTAGGCTATCTCTGCCCCACCATCCCTCACTTCCTTGATCTGTAGGCTATCTCTGCCCCCGCCTCACTTCCCTGATCTGTAGGCTATCCCTGCACCCCCCCCCGCCTCACTTACCTGATCTGTAGGCTATTTCTGACCCCCCATGCCTCACTTACCTGATCTGTAGGCTGTCTCTGTTGGCTGCATGTGTTGCTCCCCTGGGGATTTAGTCAGAGAGAAGCAGGGATAAGATGCAGCTTCCTATCCCTGTCTCTCTATGCATCCCTGTCTCACCTACTGGCCGGTGCCGGTATTGCACTGTATTTTCAATCTCAAACGAAAATTAGCAGAACAAGCTGAAAAATCCAGGGGGGGGGGAGGGCAGGAGGGGCCAAGTGCCCCCTCCCCCACCCTGTGGGCGCCCATGGCTGTACATATATACAACATCGAACATTTTTTGTCTTGGGGTGCCTTGAAAAATATTGAAATATTAAGGGCGCCTTAAACTTAAAAAGTTTGGGAACCACTGTGTTAGACAGAATATTGAATATCTTAGTAAGCGATAAAAAAAAAGAAAAGTTGAGGTGATAATTCTACTCTGTGTCTCTCCAACATTAATGGGAATATACATTTCATACATATTGTTTATAGCGTTTTCAAAAATGATTTTCCTTATCCTGGTAATGAACATTTAAGGTATATATTTCTGGCAACATGAAATGTTAACTATGTCTACTGAAAGCAGAAATATATAGAGGCAAGGCTTCCCTTTGGGTAGGGCAATAGGGACACTTGCCCAGGGCAAAGCACATGTTTAGGCAGCTCTCACCACACAATCTTGAAGAGAAAGGCAGAGAATTAACCACTGACTGCCTGGAATCCAGATGTTGTAGTGAAGGTTGTACAGAGTTACTGTGAATGTGTGTTTATCCATATCTCCCAACATTTCAGATGGACAAAGAGGGACACTTTAATTTTAGGTGTGTGATTTATGGAGTGGTGACTAAATATTAGGTGACTTACTAATAATTTATACAACTATAATGTAATGTAGAAAAAGAACACTGTATCTTATTTACACAGACTGATTTCTAAACACATATATTGTAGTTTAAAGACTCATTATTTTGAGTTTTATTGCTGTTTAGCTTTGCCATACACACATACACACAAACAATATGCATTTCCTAGAAAAAAAAAGGGACAGGGGGATCTTTTGCCCCAAATAGGGACTGCCATTCCTAAATACATAGTTACATAGCTGAAAGGAGACTTGCGTCCATCAAATTCAGCCTTCCTCACATTTGTTTTTTGCTGTTGATCCAAAAGAAGGCAAAAAACCCAGTTTGAAGCACAATTTTGCAACAAGCTAGGAAAAAAATTCCTTCTTGACTCCAAATGGGGACAACTGACAATATGAGTATGTATCCAGATATGTCTGCTTTTGTGTCTCAATTGATTAATTCCAGTTTGTTTCTGTTGATGTCTGCTAGTGTGTTTTTATGTATGCCAGTATGTTGTATGTGTATGTGCTAGAGTGTGCAGTAGGATAGGTCAGAGTGTGGTTCTCTGTGTGGTATTGTGTACCTATGAAAGTGTATATTTGTGTGTGTCTAGGAATGTGTCTGATTAATTATGTATGTGTGTATATGCTTGTGTCTGATTAGATATGTGTGAATAGATGATTCTGGAATTGTTTGTGACTTCTGATATGTCTGTACGTGGCTAACTATGTATGTTTTGCTAGTAATTTCTTTCTGTCATGGAAGCATGTATAATTGTCTTTTCAAATGTCATGCAAATTTAAAAGGGTTTCCTTGTCTAAAGGTTTACCATATTCAATGTTGTGATGAATATATAAATAAATAGTGTTGATTAAGTGTTGCCATTCTCAGCCAATGAGCTAAGCCTCAAGCTTCATGCTTTGTTCAGAAAGAACACTTCTGCAGTGGAGCGGCACCTGGAGGACTTCCGGTAAGAAGTTAAACCATTCTAAAATGGTTTGACTACTTGCAATAGAGGGGTCACTGGGACACTCCTGGCGCCATAACTACTGTAGTGTGTTGGAGTATTCCTTTAAAGTTTACTTATGAATGCAGCCGGAAACAATTAATTAGGGAGTAATCATACATCATATAAGCTTCAATATAGATTACCTGTAATGATATCCAAACTCAAATACAGGCGAGTCAGTGGTATAGTCATTTATCTTTATTGACCTACCTGCATTCAATCCAGGATAAATGTAGCCCATTAAAGCTCCCCTAAATACTGCTGTGGAAACAGCTGATTTAGAACAGCATATTGACAACAAGCAGCATGTTCAGAGCTGACGAGTAAAGAAATCCATATTGTAGATATCCTTCGATTTCTGATACTTCAGTACTAATTAAAGTTACATAATATATTTGTTATCTCTGTTAGAAGACTTTGGAAAGGCAGATTTGTTTCCTGGAAATCCAAAACATGTATAGCAGACAAGAACAAAGTAAATAAAATGCAAATGAACCATAAATGGGGATATACAGTTACTGGGAAAAAGTACACCCTCTTGAATTCTATGATTTTACATATCAGAACATAATAACAATTAACTGTTCCTTAGCAGGTCTTAAAATAAGGTAAATACAACCTCAAATGAACAACACATGACATACTACACTGTGTCATGATTTATTTAACAAAAATAAAGCCAAAATGGAGAAGCCATGTGTGAAAAACTAAAAACTAAAACACCCTTACTGCTTCCATAGGAATTAAGACACTAAGTAACAGACAAGTGGTGCTAGTCAACTGCCCTTGATTAATTGATCATTAGCAAGTGTGACCACCTCTATAAAAGTTAAAGTTTTAGCAATTTGCTGGTCTGGAGCATTCAGGTGTGTGTTAACACAATGCAAAGGATGAAATACATCAGCAAGTATTTTAGAGAAGCATTTGTTGCTACCTATCAAACTGCAAAGGGTTATGAGGCCATTTCGAAACAATTTACGGTCTATCATTTTACAGTCAGAAAGATTATTCAAAAGTGGAAAACACTCAAGACCATTGCCAATCATCCCAGGAGTGGACATCCCAGCAGATTCACCTCAAGTTCAGACCACGCAATGGAGAAATTGCAAAAATCAAACAGTTACATCTCAGACTACAGGCCTCAGTTAGCATTTTAAAAGTTCATGACAGTACAATTAGAAAAAGATTGAACAAGGATTGCCAGGAGAAAGGCTTAGGTGTGCAAAGTTGCATCTGAACAAACCCGAAGACTTCTGGAACAATGTCCTTTGGACAGACAAGACCAAAATGGGGATATTTGGCCATAATTACAACTCAACGTTTGGCAAAAAAACAAACACAGCATATCAACACAAACACCTCATACCATGAACTCCAAAGTATACCAAAGTATTCTAGATTTAAATGTGAGGCCATCTGACAGCTTAAACTTGGCCGAAATTGGGTCATGTGGCAGGACAATGATCTCAAGCACACCATCAAACCTACAACAGAGTGGTAGAAAAAGAAAACAATCAAGGTGTTGCAATGGCCCAGTCTGTCACGATTCGGGGAATCCAACACGCTGGCACACAAACACACACACAGAAAAGGTGCCGTACCGGACCTTAGAGTGGCCAGGCTAAGCACACACAGAATACAGAATAACGTGAAACGAGCCGAGGTCAAAGGGTAGGAGAAAGTCACAGAGTCAGATAAACAAGCCAGAGAGTACGTAACCAGAAACACGAGGTAAGTAGCAATACTAGTAAGCAAAGACCACAACAGGGCAGGGAAGAACAGGAAAGGTAAGTATTTAAACCATAAGGTTAATTCTGATTGGATAATTTCCAATCAGAATTAACAATCACACGTGGGAGATATCTAAACCTCCCACTGTGATTGAGGCACTGTGCCTTTAACACCGGGTCAGGTGACTGACCCCGGCGTGTAATAATTTGGGCGGTCTCCCAGCGTGCAGAGTCATGTTACATAGTTACATAGTTACATAGCTGAAAAGAGACTTGCGTCCATCAAGTTCAGCCTACCTCACATTTGTTTTTTGCTGTTGATCCAAAAGAAGGCAAAAAAAAACAGTTTGAAGCACAATTTTGCAACAAACTAGGAAAAAAATTCCTTCTTGATCCCAGAATGGCAGTCAGATTTATCCTTGGATCAAGCAGTTATTACCCTACATTGAAAGATTATATCCTTAAATATTCTGTTCTTGCAAGTATGCTGCCGCTGGGGGACGTGGAGGAAACGGCGGGCGGCATCCGAGGCTGGAAGGATGCCGCTCGCCGAGCCCACGAGGAGGAGGGGACTGCGGATGGCTGGAGGGTGAGTACAGCGAGCGGAGTGCAGCCTCCCCTCGCAGGCGTCCGCGGGATCCCAACATTACCCCCCCTCGAAGACCGCCCGGAGGGCGGGAAGCCGAAGGCTTCAAAGGAAACCGGGCATGAAAGGAGCGGACCAAAGAGGGAGCGTGCACATCAGAGCTCGAAACCCAAGACCGCTCCTCAGGGCCGTACCCCTTCCAATCCACTAAATATTGCAGCCGACCCCTAGAAACACGAGAGTCGAGACGGGCAGCCACCTCGTACACGTCGCTAGAGACAGCGCGAGGAGAAACGGGCCGCCCGAGGGGACGAGAGAACCGGTTACACAGCAAGGGCTTCAAAAGCGAGACGTAAAACGTGTTCGGGATACGCATGGAAAGAGGCAGGTCAAGGGAGTAGGAAACAGGGTTAACCCTACGTAACACCCTGTAGGGACCAAGAAACCTGGGAGCAAATTTCATTGAGGGAACCTTGAGACGGAGGTTCCTGGAGGACAACCATACCCTATCACCCGGAACATAAGAAGGGGCCGCAACCCTACGGCGATCAGCAAACTTTTTCTGAGCAGCTGCTGAACGAGAAAGCGCAACATGGACCTGATTCCACGTCTTCCGCAAAGAGGCGAGGTGCTGGTCCAAGGTGGGCATTCCCTTGTCGGAGAACGCACCGGGAAGGACAGAAGGTCGAAACCCATAAGCAACCTCAAAAGGACTTAAGCCAGTAGACGAATGAGACTCCGTATTCCTGGCAAATTCAGCCCACGGAAGGCGAGACCAGTCATCCTGGTGCGCATTAGTGAAGCAGCGCAAATACAATTCCACAGACTGATTAGCACGTTCGGCCGCACCATTAGATTGCGGGTGATAGGAGGAAGAGAACGACAAGGAGACCCCCATCTCAGCACAAAAGCCCCTCCAAAACCGAGAGACAAATTGAGGACCCCTGTCAGATACGATATCCTGAGGTACCCCATGCAAGCGGAACACTTCTTTGGCAAACACCTGAGCTAACTGAACCGCAGAAGGCAGTTTCTTAAGCGGAATAAAGTGCGCCATTTTAGAGAACCTATCCGTCACAGTCAGTATCACCGTCTGACCATCAGAAAGAGGAAGGTCTACAATGAAATCCATGGATAAGTGGGTCCATGGTTTCTTGGGTATAGATAGAGGCATCAGTAAACCCTGGGGTCTCACATTAAGGGACTTACACTGCGTGCAGACCCAACAAGCCTGAACAAAATCCACTACATCTCGCTTGAGTGAAGGCCACCAGAACTATTGATGGAGGCCCTTGTAGGTTTTGGTAACCCCCGGATGACCAGCAGTTTTGGCGGTGTGAAATAAAGTTAACAACTTTTTTCTGTCATTTGCTTCAACGTATAGTTTACCAACCGGCGTCTCAGGGGGTGCTTGGGTTTGGTATGTCTTAATACTATCAAGGAAAGGTGAAGAAACAACCAAACGGGTAGCAGCTATTATCTGAGACGCAGGTACAATAGGTTCAGGAGTCGGGTTAACAAATTCTACTGGTTCATGCTGTCGAGAGATAGCGTCAGCTTTGGCATTACGGCAACCAGGTCTATAGGTAATAACATATTGGAAGCGTGAGAGAAATAGAGACCATCTAGCCTGCCGGGCAGATAACCTTCTAGCATTAGCTATATAGGAGAGGTTCTTATGATCTGTTATAACCATAATTTTGTGTCTAGAACCCTCTAATAAGTACCTCCATTCCATAAAAGCTAACACAATAGCTAATAGTTCCCTGTTCCCAACATCGTAATTCTTCTCTGGATCAGACAACCTTTTAGAAAAATAACAACAGGGATGGAGGGGTTTGTCATACGACAACCTCTGTGACAGTACTGCTCCCACACCCGACTCTGAAGCGTCTACTTCCATAACAAAGGGAAGAGAAGGATCAGGGTGGTGCAGCACTGGGGCAGAGGCAAATGCCTTCTTGAGGGTTTCGAAGGCCTTAAGGGCTTTAGGAGTCCAAACCCTAGGGTGTAGACCTTTTTTTGTCAGCTTTGTTATAGGAGAGTTGGCAAATCCTATAAAACGCTGGATAGCCTTCAGTCCTTGGGGAAGTGGCCAGGACAGTATAGCTTCCAATTTAGCAGGATCCATACTGAAACCCTGTTCAGTAATGATATATCCTAGGAATTGCAGGAGGTCTGATCGAATAAACATTTTTCTAACTTACAGTAGAGTCCGTTCTGTAATAGCCTTTTGAGCACCATCCTAACATGGTTATGGTGTGACTTCAAATCAGGAGAATACACAAGTATGTCGTCAAGGTACACCACAGCACAGACATGCAATAGATCCCTAAGGACATCATTTATGAGGTCCTGAAACACGGCAGGAGCATTACACAGTCCAAAAGGCATGACCAGATATTCGTAATACCCACTGCGTGTGTTGAACGCTGTCTTCCACTCGTCATTCTCCTTTATAAGGACAAGGTTATAAGCCCCCCTGAGGTCTAATTTGGTGAAGAATTTAGAACCTTTAACACGATCAAACAACTCAGTGATGAGGGGGATAGGGTAGGCGTTTTTAACCGTTATATTGTTCAGACCCCTGTAGTCTATATATGGCCTCAAATCGCCCTCCTTCTTTGCCACAAAGAAGAAACCAGCACCAGCAGGAGAGGAGGTCCTTCTAATAAAACCTTTACTTAGGGATTCCCGTATGTACTCCTCCATGATCTGGTTTTCTTTCTCAGAAAGAGGGTAGACCTTTCCACTAGGAGGCATAGTACCCGGTAAGAGGTTTATGGCACAATCATACTCACGATGTGGAGGTAGCTTATCTGCCTCCCTTTTTTCAAAAACCAAGGCAAGGTCTGCATATACAGAAGGGACAGAAACCGAGAGTGGTTTAGCCGTGGGAACGTTAAGTAAACAAACAGGACGTACATGAGCCATACAGTCTCGTTGACAAGATTCCCCCCAGGAGAGTATATCTAAACAACCCCAATCAAGAACAGGGTTGTGTTT